TTGTCTTGAAAAATTAAGTACAATTTCCTAAATATATAATGATGGCTTGATATGATCTTTCTCTCTGTGAAACATTCATGGGTATTTCATAATTTGTCTTCAGTTGTGATAAGAAAGAGGATTACCTTGCCTCAGGTTTGGGGCACATCTATATTTCTGGCCAGATTGATGCCCCAGAGGTCAATCTTATGGTGTTCAGTTCAGTGGGTCTGGTAAGGTCCTGCTAAATTGAACACTGTGGGCACTAGGAATTTAAGTGAGTAGTGGAGTAGTCAACTACTTGATAAACTGAAGCTTATCCGGTAGTAGAATTGACTACTTGCTTCCCCCATTGCTGCCTGCCCAAGGGGGTGGGGAATAGGACCTGGCTGGGGGGGAGCCAGCTTAAAGACCTTAAAAGTCTCCATGGTGCTGCCTTGTCCCCCACCCATCCACTGCCTCTGAGAGGCAGATGAGGGGGGAGTGTGGAGTTAGGTGGGGTGCCAGGGCTGGCTGCAGACAGGGGCTGCTGGACCCAGCGTGAGCCAGGACTGAGGAAGCCCAGCTCAGTCCTGGTTCGTGCTGGTCTGGGACTGCTGTAGCTTTTACTCCACTTAAATGCAAAGCCGCGGTGGTGTTGGCTTTTAGGACCTACCCCCTGCTGCACCACTGCAGTTTAAATGTACTAGGAACTAGGCTGCCTGTGCGTCCGACTCTTAACTACATTTAAACTGAAGAGATTTATTGGATAATGGTATAGCCAATACAAACTGTACCGACTACACAATTAGTCAGTTAACATCCTTAGAGGGCACCCCTATCAACTCCAGAACTCCTCGCAATTGCAAGGAGTAAGGGAAGTCAATGGGAGTTTCTCCTGTTGACCTCTTATGGAGCCACCCCAGAAAATTGATGCAAGGTATTTCAGCTCCAGCTACACAGTTCACATAACTGGAGCTGCCGCCATCTTTCATCGTTATTTTTTTTTTCTTCCATCAGTGTAGACCTAGCCTCAGTCAGAGCAAAAAGAGTAGTGTCTAGGAGCTGTTCCCTTAAATTCTCTTTTGGTCAATACTAATGACTGCCAGATGGCTATGGGGTGATCATATGGGGTGATCTGGCAACTTGTTTAACCTATGGTCAAAAAGGAAAAGCAGCATGATCATGGGGCTAGAAGCCAGGAATCTCTGATTGCGAGTTATGTCAACTTTACCATGTTAAAAATGGTGATAGTATTCCCCTGCCTTTGACAGGATTTGTAAGGATCTTATTTGTGTAGGCACTTTATAGGCAAGTATGAAGGTAAACCTCCCTGGTAGAAACTGAAGTATTAACCTTAAAAGGCCTGACAGTTCACAGGACTATTCTGCATGACCACACATTTAGCATTTCTGGTTAGTACTTAGTTCTTAAATTTCATGGTTTATGTAACTCTGGAGAAAAGAGTTTGAAATGAACAAGCAAAAATTTTTGAGAAAAATCAAATCTGTCTTAAGCACTAGTAAAAATCACAGATCCTGAAGTGTTCACATGCTTTCAACAGAAACTGTTAAAATTAATCCTGGATCAATAAAGTACTTTAAAGTGTGCTAGACTTTATTTTGTGGTGTTGTCTAAAAGCTATCTATATCCCAATGTCTTCAGAACAAGTACAGTACAAATGAAGCCTTGATATTGAATTGCCCAGCCCTCCTCCCCCCGCCCCCCAATTGGGGTAGATCGGGGGCAAAATGTCCCAGTGTCCAGCAATTCAAAAGGGCTCAGAGTTCCCAACAGCCGCTGCTATGGCAGCAGTAGTGCCCAGAGCCCCAGACCCTTTAAATTACTGCTGGAGCGCCATGCGGGGTGGTCCAGAAGGCGCTGCAGGCTGCTTGCCCCAGACTTGCCTCTTCTGCTCAAGGCCCTGCTCCTTCTAGGAGTGCAGAATTCCTCCCTTCCACCCCCTTGCCCAGTGGCCTTGGTGAAGTTGTTGGCTCCCCTGGAATTGCTACAGAGGAATTTGCTGTAGGTAACTAAACTACCAGAACTTCAGACATCCAGCAATCCAAAATTTGTTCAAACTGGAATCTAGAATGGTAAGTGAGAAAATGCAAATGGATAGATAGACAAGATACTTCATAGACACAGCATTTTACACCATTACTACTACAACCTGTCATATCAATTTGTCAAACTATTATGCCAAATTCCATGCCTGAATTACTAGACACAGTGCAGGATTTTCAAAAGCATGGAGCATTGACCTAATTGCTTCCACTGAAAGACTCTTATTGTAGACTTCAGTGGGAGTGGGGCATGGCCTATGCTGATTGTGTATGAAACCTCAGCCTGAAATTGGTGGCTCTTTCAGGCCGCTGCTGTTTTCCTATGTTTGTATTGAACCTGGTAACAAGGTCTTAATCCTGAGACCCTTGGCACTGCTGTGAAACAAATAGACTCCTCAGTAACTCCAGATATTTGTGCACTCCAATAACATGCCATAAAACTGTGTGCTTTTGCCTTAAATCATTATATAAATATATTTCACCTTTAGTCCATTTGCTTTCTGACTCAAGGAAGGTAGTTGTTATGGAACAGACAGGAAAGGAAAATGAATGCAGGTAATAGTTGCAGCTTGCCCAAGGGCTAATACATGAAACCAAAGGTAAGTGCCATAGTACAAGATAATATGGGAAAGGAGTATGTGGAGACACACAGAGACAGCTGGAATTAGAACAGAATAAGTTTAGTGGGGGTAAAATATTTCTAACAAAAATCTTAAGGGGCTTCATAGTGCTCTCGATGAGGTTATAATTGAAGGTATGTATGAGGGAACTAGACCTAAAGTATCTTCAATCTTTATTATGCTACGAGATTTCCACATTTGTCTGACCCACTATATCAGCATAATTCAATTTAAGAATGCACTTCTTTCTCTGGACTGTGCTATAACATTTATTTGCATGTGGTAAGTTCTCTAAAATTGTCAGAAAAGACAAGATCTGAATGTCTTAATTTCTGGTTCACCTTCATTTATTGCTTGAAATGTGCGTGCATGCGTTCGTTCGTTCAGGGGCTACCATCCTGACAAAATTATTTTTAATTGTGATCAGTCTTCTATAGAGTGGAAATCATTATTGCTCACCATCAAACTGGCAGCATGTTTCAATATATGTGCAGTGGCTATATGTCAGGCTATAGTGTTCTGTTACCTGAACACAATATTGATTTTTTTTCCCCCTCTTGAGTTTGAGGTATGCTTATAACAAGAAAAGAAAGGAAATAAATGGTACTACTTCCTCGAAAGTTGGGGTCACATGTACAACACACCAACATTCTGCATTGGTTTCTATCTTTTAATGTAGAGCTAGAAAACTAAAATACATTTCAGTGGCAAAATTTTGCCTCAGAATTCATCTGCATCCCAGATTGTGCAGAATTATTGCCTTAATTTCTATACATTTCTATACCCTGCCACTTCTATAGGGGAGGCCCACTGCTGTAAGGATTAGAAATGATTTTCTTAGGAACTCATTAAATGACTGGATGAATTGCTCTTCAATAAAACATTTATCTGCCTCCCAGAATGATTTCCTAGTGCTTGTTCTAGGCTGCAAGAGACTGGAATCCAAGTAGAGTTTCTTCATGGCAATGTAAAGCTATCATAGGGATGACCTGACAGATTTTAATTTTGAAAAGCACACATTGGGGGTACTTCTCTATGCCAATTTTTGGGGTCAGTAAACTTCACATCAGACCTTTGATCAGTCTTTTGGCTTGCAGTATGGAAAATAATTCTAACAAAAATGCATGCATCTTGCAGACTGCTGTTTCATATCCTGTAGTCTGTGCTCTGTAGTAAAGCACAATAAATGAAAAACCATGTATGTACTTTGTTTATCTCTTTGCCCCAAAGGAAACTTCTGTTTCTAAACGAAATATCAAAAATCCAGGGGACTTGCACTGTCCATCTTGCTGTGCTTACCCTCTCTACTGATACACAGCCTCGTGTTTGTGCTTTTATGTTGGAAGAGCAGTAAAAGAAATACCTACACCAGTATTGTCTATACATGCTTTTTTTTAGGAGCACTGCAGTATGGTGTCTGTGTTAGTCTCTAATAGAAGCTGACACCTCCATTTGTATTGCTCCATTAGTCTGGATCTTTGATCGTGGTGGGTTCTAACTGTATTCATATCTTAGAGTTGGTAGCATACAGAATGTTTACTACAGACTGTTTAAAGCAAATTCACTTGACTAGCATGAGACATTCTGGTAGAATTCTTGTGCTCCAGTCCATTTTGTATTATGCATTCAAACCGATAAACCATCTTTTGAAAATTATGTGGCCAGTTAGACTGCTCATGAATGTTTCCTGTAATCTTTTCCATCCATGTGTGGATATTTTTCTATCCATGTGTGGTATGAGCACTGAGGCATGTGTGAATGTGCACCAGCAACACACACACAAAATCTAGCTGTGGGTACTCTTCTAATCAGCGGAGTGGCATTTGAATTTTTCCCGAGCAGATGAAAAGTGCACAGCTTATATGGAACACTGACCCTCATGATGGTAATTTAACTTAGATATTTCTAGAATGTCTATCTGGAGGATACGGAAGCATCATAGATATTTATTTAGCATTCATCAGATCTTCATTTGGTCTTCTAACCATGCCTCCCCAATTTCCAGTTAAAGCTTTCTGTTTGTAATGAGAGGAAAGAGAAGAATGCCAGAGAACTTGTAAAAACTCATATAATCTAAACATATATCAAACCTTACTGAGAGGAAAAATTCTGATTGTGCGGGAAAAAAT